TATGAAAGCTCCATTCTGCCCAGTGCAATTCTGTATTTTTTTGTGGGGGGCGGGGGGTACGCCCTTGTATGTCAATTATGCAAATAAAATCATTTTGGAAGTCAGAAATTCCAGAATGGAATGGAGACTGTGAGGAAAGAATGTAATTTTATAACAGATGTTTGAAATAACCTCATTGAAGGAGACAAGACAAAAGACAATAACAAACATGACCCAAAAATGTATATATAAGTACTAAATTCTGTGTCTCATGGGTGTATAATTTAACAATTCTGAAACTGCCAAACATGTATATTGGAATGAAGGGATTAAATAAAAGTGTGGTAGATGGTGGGAGTCAAGTTTCTCACGGTTGGAGGAGGAAATTATGGCAAGCAAGTCGGAAGGTAGAAGCTAGAATCATCAGTGATATTGGATTTGAGCTGAGATATAAATATCTATGTTTATTTTAAAAACATGATTATATTTAACACTATTTATAGACAGGCATACATTCATAGCTAGTATAAACACATATATTTCTTTGCTGTCAGCTTAGAGAACTTAGAAGCAATGACACTTCTCAGCAATGAGCAAAACTAGAACCCCAGAATTTTTATTTTTTTACCATTCTTCAATAAAATAAACCACAGCTATTTGAGTAATAAGCTAATTAAGGCCTGTCCAGGGAATATAAAACATGAGTCTAAAACATCTTAATGTATGCCAGAAAACAAAGAAGTGTTTTTTCTTAAAGAATGGGATTATGTCAAAGAGACACAAGATCCACCTGGAACTGTACTCCAGGGCCAAAGCTTGGGATAACTCAAACAAGATTAAAATTTAATTTTCCATTATACCTCCAATATAAAGTAATTTGTACAAGTTCAAATTGACCAAATAAATGATAGAATCTTGTGGTAGTTACATAATCTGGTGTCAACTTGAGACTATTAAGAGTTAATTGGTGGAGTATATATAGTCTGTCAATCAGGCCACAGCTTGATAACCTCATTTGGAGGCGTGGAGGAGATAAATAGTTCACTGGAGGTCAGAGCACGCTCTCCCTGCAAAACATTCCTGTTGACATGCCACGTGGAGCTATGCTGATGGTAGCCAGAGCCTTGAAGCTCGAGGAGTCACAGGGAGACCCATGCCAGTGCTAAAACACTTCCACCACCACTGGATCCAAAAGACTTCCCAGCCACTGGCCTGTGATCTTCCTGCACTCAGTGCCATTGCATGTATTGTGTGAGTCTGAAGAGGAATTTATTGACTGGTATCAGACATATGGACTAATATTGGACTTAAGGACTTGATATCGACTGGGCTGGGATGTTTTCTTAATGTGCAATTGCTCTTGAATGTAAAATTCTCTCTTACACACATACGAGTGTCTATGAATTTGTTTCTCTAGTCTACCCGGAATAACACACAAATAAATAAATAAATACACAAATAACTAAATGGGGGATAATGGACAACTAGCAAGTGTAGAAGAATGCTGATTAATTTATGCAATGCATATTCAATCCTTCAGGGCCAGAAATCAAAGTCAGAACTCACTGCCATGGAGTTGATTGTTGTAGCGGTTATGCATTGGGTTGCTAACCTCAAGGTCAGCAGTTCAAAACCACCATCCAAACAAGAGAGAAAGTTGAGGTTTTCTAATCCCATAAAGGGTTACTCTCTTGGAAACCCATAGAGGCAGTCCTACTTGGTCCCACAGGGTTGCTATGACTCTCAGGACAGTGTTGCATAACTTAGGTGCACTGTGATTAGTGACTGTCTTTCAAAGACTAGGTTCCCAGAAATAGTTGCAGGACCATTCTCTCTTTAGATAACTAGGTGCGCAGGACATTCTTGAAGATACAGTTTGGGGGGAGCAGCCGGTCTTGCGGCACATGAAGAGGGAATGTAAGAAGCAGTAAAAAAATTTAAATGATAAGGTGTGACAGCTACTTATATCATCCCGAGTTTATCATGTGGTACTTTTGTCAGAGGTTAAGTGCCATTAACTTTCAGCAAGAGTTTAAGTCAAGGGTGGTAGCTATCATTTTGTTGCTGTTATTAGTATTTTTAAAAATAACAAAAATGTCTCATATTTTATTGCCCAAGAACTGTATTCTAAGTTGAATGGAAGATGGTTGAATGCCAGGCTCTGAGCCTAAATGGAAAGGCTTTCCAAATATACCTGTGGAACACAATCGATTTGAGGACTTCTTAAACATGTCGTTAAAACATACGCTTGTCTAGGAATGCAACCATGAGAACATCCTTTCACATCCCAGTACAGTGAAAAGTAGATGGAGATGAAGTAGTGGTCTACTATTTGAAGACTTGCTTCTCTGATAGGGAAGTACTCTGCTCAGTAGAATAAGTAGGATAGTTTGGGACATATATCCAATTTCAAGAGCACTGAACTCTTAAGCCTCTTAATATGCAGGTGAAATCAGGGATTTAACATGCACATGAAAATATGAACTAAGGTAGTGAGTTAATAACATAAGCTATGTGTATAATTGTACTTTTAACTTATTTTAGAAAAAGTCTTCATAATTTTCTAATACTTTAGTTACCTAATTCTTATGGGAAATAGTAATCATTGTACTATTCAAATATAACATAATTTAAGTGAAAATAAAACCAGACCCAGCATAAAAGGACTAGTTATATCCTGTATAATTGAAGATAATTTAAAAAGGTGCACAGCTTAGATTTGGAATTAATTAAACTAAGAAGGTTAATTGGATCATCAAATACATTATTTGTGAGAGTCGAGGGTTTAACTGCCAACTTTCTTACAGTAATAATACAAAATTTTATTCAAAAAAGAAAATATATCAGAATATATCTTTTTATTTTGTTTTTCATTTAGCACAAGTAAATAGAACTCTGAGTATTTAATGAAGTGTAAAAAATATGATGCAAATATAGAACCTGAGAGTATAGTCAACCAGAATATATAATGTATTTTTATGACTTTCTATATACATATATGATAAGTAGCAGAGCTAATTATCCATATATTTGTTATATGTCCAGGGATAGTGTTTTTGACAGCTATCTAATCAGAAGTAGTGCTTGTGACACAGATAAATTTAATTTTTTCAATAATTAAGAATAACTTCATGTACCTAATGATGAGCTATGGATCTTAGCTTTAAGGACTAAGGTGAGCCTAACCCAATGGTATTTTCCATTGCTGGCCACTGTGCCGTCATAGCTCCTTGATATACGCCCCCAAACTTGAAACTAGAGACCCAAACAGACACATTTGTACACTAATGTTTATTGCAGTAGTATTTACAATAGGTAACATTTACAACCTAAATGCCCTCAAATAGATGAATGGATAAACAAAACGTGGTACATGCAAACATACAATGTCAATAGGAGAAATGAAGTCTTGATATATGCTAATATATGAATTGAGCTGTTAGACATTATGCTAAATGAAATAAGTCAATCACAAAAGACATAATCTTATGTGACTACATTTACACAAAAAAACAAATTTAGAAAACAAAGTTTACTAGTGGTTACGAGGACCCCATAGAAGGGGATGGTGGGTAGGTGGTATTTCTAATTGTGATAGAATTATCACACTGTTTAAGTGTAAGGTTGTATACCTGATTAATTTAATGCTGCCCATCAATTGCATACCTGTAAAAAGCTAAAATGGCAAAAAGAAAGAAAGAAAGAAAATAGTGATTTGTGAATTTAAAATAAGACCCAAAGAGTAGCTACTGAGGTTGTTTATCTACACCCAAAAGCAAATGAGATTTGGTTCCTTAGTTTGAAGGTTAAGGTCATGGTTTCAAGGGACATCCCATTAATTGACTGAATAAAATGTGTATTGATTTTGTTTTACCTTCTAAAACGTTGTGTAGTGCCTGGAGTCTTAAGATATAAACATTGGTCTCTGACTTGCGCAGCAGTGAAAGAGAAGGAATCCCGAGTATGGGAATGGGAGAGAATGTGTGGCTAATTGTTTTTAGGAACACTGCCTCCTCTGCCATGAGATCAGAAGAAATAAATGGGACTCCGCTACCATCACTGAACATTTTAACCAAAGATTCAGTAGAAGAATCCTCTTCAAAAGAAGGAAAATTCAACACAGGATTTAGAGTTCTCATGGAGTCAAGACTTCCTGGATTCATTAACGTTGGATGAACCCTGAAACTATTACTCCGGACTCTGTTCCTTAGGTAGGGGTCTTTCTTGTTTTCCTTCCACAGTGGATTCATGTGGTATTCGCAGTTTGTGATTAGCTAATTTCAGTCAGTATACTACTTTTGAGGTCTATCATGTGATAAGGAGCTCCATGGTTGTTCTTTTAGCAATGCACTGTTTTAGTAAAGCATACAATTCCATCATGTGCATATACCAAATTTTCCTTATCCATTCTTCTACGGATTGGAATTTAGGTTATGTCCATCTTCTTGGTATTGCGAATGGTGAACAGTTTTGCTCTGAACATGGGTGTGTTTATATGTGTTCATAATATATTCTTACTTCTTTAGGATATCTACACAGCACAGAGATTTCTGGGCCTATAGAATTTCTTTTTCCAGTTGCTTGAAATAGCACCATATTGCTTCTCACAGTGGTTTTACATATGTTACCATGAGCAGTAAAGAACGTGGTTTAATCTCTCTTCAGTTTTACAAGCATTTGTTATTTTTGTTTTTCCATTGGCCGCCATTATTTATTTAAGATGGTATCTGATTTGATTTGCCTCGCCCTGATGGTTCAGTACGGTGAACATTTCTTCATGTATTTGTTGGCCATTTGGCAATGTCATCTTCTGGGAACTCTCTCTTCACATCCTTTGCTCATTCCTTTAATATTTATTTATTTTTCACTGCACCATTACACACCGGGACGCTTTATTGAGCTTGCTGATAGATGGAGATACATGCGCAAACAGCTGTGGATGGGAGGGGGCAGGCAGGCCAGGGGTCAGGTCGTCCAGCAGGGCAGGGCTGGAAGGTTCAGGACACAGCGTGGTGCAGTGGCTAGTGGCCTTCCTGGCCCATCATTTGTGACAAGGCTTGGAAGCTCATCACTGTGCCTGTGGCAAGGAGAATGACAAAGATAAGGATTCCCAGGAGGCCGAGGACTGTAGAGAAGATGTTCAGGTACTTGGCGGTGGACGCATGGCTTGGGGCCCTAATCATGTCTCCCACCATCTTCTGGTCCCTAGACTTCACAGAATAGGTGTAGGCCACAAAGCCCAGGCAGCAGCAGTTGAGGAAGAGCACGCTGAAGAGGGACCAGACGATGTGGTCAGGCACGTGGGGTTCATGCAGGATGTTGATCACGGTGGACTGCCTGGGGGTGGCGTGGTATGGGGCCCGCAGCCCACATATCTTGAGCTTCTCTTGAGCCATCTCCGGGGTGTAAGGACATAGAGACTTGCAGAATGGGAGAGGCCCCTTTGCTCATTTTTAAATGGGGCTATTCATTTTTTTCTTATTGAGGTATTGTAGTGTTCTACAATAGCTTTAGAGATGTTCTCGTCTGTTATGTCATTGTGAAAATGTTTCCCAATCTGTGTGTTCCCATTTTACTCTTTCAAAGTCTTTGAGCTACATAGGCGTTCTTTTGAGTTGGCCTGTTATCTATTTTTCCATCTACTGTGCGTTTCTTCCATTACATTTGATAATGTGTCTACGTCCTGAAAGAAGGCCCTTCAGTTTATCCCTATTTTCTCATTTATGATCTTTGTTGTTTTGAACTTACATCTTGGTCTTTGATTAATCTTGAACTTATTTTTATACATGGTCTGATGAATGGAAATACAGATGGAAGTCCTATTATGCCAGTTCCATTTGTCAAAGAGATTATAACTATTTCATGTTATATGTTTTGGCCCGTTGTGGAAGATCGGTTGTTAGTATAGGGTTGGCTAACTTTATTTTGGGTTCTCTATTCTGTTCCATTGTTCTATGTATCTATCATTCACCCAGGACCAGACTTTTGACTACTGTGGTTGTGAAATAGGTTCTGAGATTGAGGTGAGGCATCCTGTATATTTTCCTTCTTAAGTATTTCTTTGTTCCTCCTGAGTCTCTTCCTCGTATGATGTTAATAATTAATTTTTCCATTTCTTAAAAGAATAAAGCTGGCAACTGGATTGGAGTGGCATTGGGATTCTAGATTTCTTTAGGTCGTATTGGTATCTTCGCAGTACTCTCTTCCTATCCATGAACATGGTATACTTTTCATTTATGTACATTTCTTTTGATTTCTTAGTAGTGATCTTTAGCAAATTACTGAATATGTTCTTTAGTAGTGTTCTTTAACAAATTACTGAATGTGAGTGATGATCAGGGACATCTCTATTTGGTTCCCATTTTCAAGAGTAATGCTTTCAGTTTTGCCTCATTGAGGTAGATCCTGGCTGTTGATTTTGCATATGTGGCCTTTATTATGTTGAGAAATGCCCTTTTTATTATTATTTTGCTGAGTGTTTTTATCAGGAATAAGTGTTAAATATTGTCACGCGCATATTCTATGCCATGTGGCTTTTGTCTTTTGCTTTGTTTATGTAGTGCATTACCTTGATTATATAATTTTTATAATGTTGAACCATCTTTTGGAACCTGGGATGAATCCCACTTGGTCATGTATTACTATTATTATTATTATATTTTTGGCTTCTACTAGTCAGCATTTTGTTGAGAGTTTTTGTTACTATGAGACTTGGGTCTGTGTTTTTCTGTCTTTGGAGTGTCTCTGCCTGGTTTTGGTGCCAAGGTTATGCTTATTTAATAAAATGAGTTTGAGAGCTTGCTTTCCTTTTATATATCCTGTAATAATTTGTGTAGCATTGGTGTCAACTATTCTCTGAATGCTTGGTAGAATTCTCAGTTGATGCCTGAATCTGACCCTGGAATTTTTTTGACATAAGAGTTTTAATGACCAGAATTATTTCTTCTTTGGTCATGGGTTTGCTGAAACTTTCTACATTAGTCTGTGTTAATCTGGGTAGATTTTATCTAGGTTATAACATTTATTGGAGTACAGTCTTTCATAGTAATGTATTTTGTTTTTATTTCATTTGGAACTATTGTGATATAACCACTTTCATCTCTTATTCTTGATATTTGCATTTTTCTTTCTTTTCCTTAAGTTGACAGTGATTTGTTAATTGTGCTCATCCTTTCCGAGAACTAACTTCTTGTCTTGTTGATTTTTCTATTGTTTTTATGTTTCTCACTTCATTTACTTCTGCTCTAATCTTTAGAATTCTTTACTCCTGATAATGGAACATTTGTCTTGTTTCTCTTTCTCTCTGTGTTGGAGATGCTGGGTTTTCTTTCATCTGTATACGTTGATATTGCTTCTAAGACTTTTGAAATAACGTTGACATTTTAATCTTTTTAATTTTAGAAATTGCTAAGTATATTTGTAAAATAAAAATAAAAAAGCATTACTGTGGCTCTCATACGAGGGGGTTACCATCCCCATGACCACCACACACACAAATACCCGGAAAAAAGTTCTGCGGGGCGAGCCGAGCTTTCAGGGGACACGTCAACTTGCTCTGAGTTAGTGCACCCAGTGGAGTCACATGGGAAGTTTCTCTCTGGTCACAATAAATTTTTTCATGAACGCAGTTCTGCTTGAGTCTCATTTTTTGTGGTGACCAATGTTTCCTGCTCGTGAAAAAAGCCACAGAAAGTTGTGATTGAACACAGCTGACAAGAACAGTGCTATAGGAAATACTAAAGTGTACGAGTGGTTTTATCATTTCAAAAAAGGTGAAATGTTGATTGATGACAAACCTCATTCTGGATGTCCATCAACTTCCAGAACAGCTGAAAATGTCAACTCATAGTGCATTTGGAGTTCGGTCCACCAGGTCAGACTGTTAATCAAGCTTTCTATTAGAGGTTCTGAAAAGATTGTGTAACAATATGTGACCAAAAAGGCCTGATTTGTGATACGTAGGGGAATGGATTTGCCACCAAGAAATTGTTCCTGCTCACACAGCCATCTCAGTGCACCAATTTTTGGCAAAAAACAGCATGTCTCTCTTGGCCGATGCACCTGACTCATCTGACTTCACTCCATGTGACTTCTTGTTTCCACAAATGAAGATGGATATGAAAGGACAGCGATGTGACTATGTAGAAGAAGTGAAGAAAAAAACAGGGGGAAGTGCTGTCAGCTATCCAAACAGATGAGTTTAAAAAATGTTTCCAAGAGTGGAGTCACAGATTTGACAAAGGAATTTTAAGTGTAATGGAGAGTACTCTGAAGATGATGAGGTCATTTTATTAAAAAAGTAGAGATACATTGCTTTGAAAAAAAATACATTTTGAAGGGGGGGCACCCCCTCATACAGATTACAGATTACAACTTCTCCTTAGGGTTCTTTGTGTATGATATTTACTGAGGCAGATTCCAAGTCTTCTGCTGTGCCTCCAGGTGGGTTTGAACTAATCGTTGGACTAGCACTCAATTACAAGCCACTTTCACCCAATGGCTTCATGAGTGTATAGTGTTATTTAATAAGTGCTATGAATTCCAAATGGAATTGTCCTTCTCAACTTTTGTTTCCTTGTGACACTTGTTTACTATGACCTGTTTACAAATTCTTTACCAATCTTTAGTTTTCTAAGATAATCTCCTTTGTACTAAAATACCCTCACAAAGTTAGCTTTATATTTTGTTTATTATACATCTGGTACCAAATGCTATGTATGGTATTAGGTAAAATGTGTGCTTCATGCTTTCCATATGATATTGAGTTGATATGACTCCATCATTGAAACATTGTGCATGGTCATTTGTCTCTGTGGTAAGTCAGTGGTCTTGTGTAAGTGAGGATCTATTTCTGAATTATACTCTTTTCCATTGTTCTATTCGTTTATACTTACTTCAATTCCTGATGTATTAGTTGCAATAAATTTATAGAAATCATGATGTTAGCTGGCAAAAGTGTTCCAAGTTTGTTTGTTTCCAAGAAGTTTGGGCTATAGAAAACATTGTACACTTATATATATAAATTTTTTGTCACCTTTTGTAATCTACAAGAAATTTCTGTGGAAACTTACATGTGGATTGTGTTAAACTCAAAGATCACTTGGAATGAAAATGATACCTTAACTATTCTTAATTTTTTAACTCCTAAAAATGGTATTTGAATTTAAGGATTTTTTTTTCAATTCTTTATGCAATGTAATATTGTTCTTGGCTATCCTGCTCCTTTTATTTATATACGCTCATATGTTTTATTATTTCTATCATTATGTATCTTATATTTCTTTTAGTAAATTTTTATTGTGAACTAGATGAAGGTTTACAGAACAAATGCTATTTTGTGCATTTTAAAATTCACACAATTCCTAGTCAACTAAATCCCTGCAAGTCATTCAACACCCCAAGCCCTTAGCTCACTTACTCCCTGTGCTTGCTGTTTGCATTCATTCTGATTTCATGCCACTCTGTCTGTTTTATCTTAACTTGTTGACTGCTGAAGCCAGAAGGGAGTTCACAAACAATATATTCTACATCTTATTTTGGTTAGCAGTGACTGGAATCTTAAAAATTCCCCAGCAGTCAAATAAGGTACAATGATTGGTCTGTCCCATTCCAGAGAAAAGAAGATTGAAGAAAACAAAAAGTCCCATGAGGCGAAAAAAATCAATCCGATTGACCAATGGACCACATAAACATGTCTCCACAATCCCGAGACCAGAAGAACTAGCTGGCCCCTGGTTATCAGTACAGATTGCTCTGAAAAGCACTACATTAGAAGCACTACACTGAGTGGGAGAAAAATGTGGACCAGAACTCGAAATCATAAAAGAGCTTTCCTATCATAAAATCAATTTACATACAGTCATAATAGGCTTCCTGATTGGAAAGAGACTGGTGGGATTCTTAAGACATTGGTTCTTGCCCTTCAGCTCCAGAACTGCATTCATTCTTTGGAATTTTCATTTAATTTGCTCATCGTCCTTTAATTTTGTGGGGGAAACTAGATAATTTATTTTAAACATTTAGTCTATTTACATATAAAGATATAGATTATCTATAACCACTGCTTTTGGTGCCTTCCTTAAATTAGCATATTGCATTTTTAATATCACCCATTTTGAACTATATTCTAATTTCTTTTGTGATTTATTGTTTGACCTATGGATTATGTGAAAGCAACTAGTTTTATATCCTAGTATTTGGTGACTACTAGATAATTATTACTGTTGATTTTTATTTTACTTTTGTTACAATCAAATAGCGTATGCCGGCATACCATGTGGACTAAGTAAATGTGCCGCGTTCTTTGAAAGGAGTGGATGTTGCAGCCAGTGTGTGAGTATTTTGTAAAGAAAAGTTAGGTCAAGGTGGGGTGTTTTTCAGTTTTCAATATGCGTAA